TTACAGCCCTTTCAAAGTCTGCTCCTTATTAATGTCACACCCTTTGTGTAGAGTCTAGAGCTTATAATTATGTCAAGATTTCAGATAAGATCCTCTTTCACAGCCCTTGCAAATCAAATACATTCTGCTACACTCAAGCAAAGCCTGGAACCCATACTAACAAGTAGAGGATTGCAGCCGTGCCTTAAATATTTCAGTAAAGCAGAAGATCAATGCCAATATATGGAATAATATAATGAAACCATAAAGACACACATGCATCCACTTAATGACTATCGACCAAGTACGCATGACCCATTCATACTCACTCGCCGTTCTCTTTACCATCTAGCATAGTAAGCGGAACTCTTTTTTCCTTTCTTTCTTTATCTTTTCTTCCTTCATTTACCTTCTATTTCCATTTATCTCCTCTAAGGATAAACAGGAACATAGACACACATGCACATGCGCACACATACCAACTCAGATACATACATATATACATACATACATATTTACATACATACATACATACATACATACTTACTTATATACATACATACATATATACATCATACATATATTCATACATATATACATATATCATACAAATATATAAATATATATATATACATATATATATATATATAAATATATATATATATATATATATATATATATATATATATATATATATATATATATACATACATACATACATACATACATACATACATACATACATACATACATACATACATACATACATACATACGTACACACGTACACACGTACACACGTACACACATACACACGTACACACATCTACACATACACACATACACACATACACATATACACACATATGCACATACACACATACACACATACACACATACACACATACACACATACACACATACACTCATACACACATACATGTATGCACGCACACACACACACACACATGTGCACTCACATATACGCACACAAACACACACACACACACACACACACACACACACACACACACACACACACACACACACACACACACACACACACACACACACACACACACACACACACACACGCAAAGAATTTCAACTGATTTTGTATGTTATGACAATCTTATGTGTATTGTTGAGTAAAAAATGTAAATAATCAATTAGTAACCAATCTCTTGTGTCATATACATGCTTTAACATACCTTAATCTTACAATAATTAAGATATAGTGAACTAGCATCCGCGCTAAAGGCTAAGTTGCTGTATACTTCCAGAAAACTACAATGTTATAAATAAACAGAAAAGAATAAAAGAGCAATAACTAGCAAAATTATGAAAAGATACCATCATTCACTTTTTAACTTCACTAATGAACAGCAAATTTTGTACAATTTTGAGATCCTTTGATTGTATAAGCCTTTAATAGCCTGATTGATTAAAAGCCATAGCCCTGCAACTTTTGAATTATTGTGCATTTTATCAATTACATTCACTCTATATCTATATCAAAATAACTAGCTAATATAATTTTTAGGTTAACTAGACCATAATATGCAATATTTTTTCTTGCAGAGAAAGTCAGGCAAGAAAACAGCTAATCTTTTTATTAGCCATTTCCAAAAGCTATCAGTTATGGTAGATCATACAATATGCAATAGAAACACTGGTTGAAAAAGAATGTATATGACTAACAAGCATATTAAGAAGTACATCATATACAGTCAAAACTTGATCCTTCACAAAAAGATGTGTTAAATGGCAGATTTCCGTTTACAATTTCACAATAACTTGAGTTTGTGCTATTAGTAGTCAATTTCTTATGCTTCATATTAGTGTAAACACTTTCAGGTAAAAGTGTTAAAACTCAAACATGCCTGATTATCTCTTAATAAAGATATCTTACATATAGCTTCACTAGCTTATTTTTAAGGTAACATGATTCCTCTAATGTACTATATTTTTTCTTTTCAGATTACAAATTATTCAGTTAAATTCATCATATCTGTTCAGTATTACATATGTTTATTACTTTAAAAATCCTTCTATATACACTGAACTTAATTTAAAACAATAGTCCTATGATGTCAAGCTGACATTTTTATATCTACAGATTCATTTGAATACTAGATAGGAGTATAGATCTGTGTAAATTACAAAACAGCCAAATTTCTTTCCTTTCAATGAAACTAAAAAATATGAACACAAGACTCTACATCATGTATTGTTCTTTCCTATAATCACAAAGTTTACTTAAGCTTGTTACGAAAAAGAATTAGATACTTTTCCTTTCTTTTTTCAATATTTGGATTTTCAAGTTTTGAATGTATATATCAATCATTATTCAGATTGCAGAAATGTATCTAATATGAACTCTACAAATAGGTATCATAACATACCCACCCAAATTCATCTATCTACGTGAAAAGTAAAGTTGCATTAAAGATAAATTAAATGCTTTCTATCTAATATTAGAATACTGTCCTATCAGAAACACACAAAATATTTGCAACAGA